CGTTTTCTTGAATAGACTATCAACGAACAGCCCCTGCCTCCTTAGTAACACTATTAAATTAGTCCCGCCGTACTTTTAGGTTGACTGGTATTTCTGATGTCAGTCACCGTACCGTCTACTCAAAGCTACATAATGAAGGAGCAGGTTACAATTTGCGCATCAGGGAAGTTATCAGATTTTGATCATTGACATTCGCCTAGGGAGAAGGGAGCTCTAACTTGTGTGTTCGCTTGTGAAAATGGCGTCTCTTTCTTTTCGGCAGTCCATACATCCTTTTGTAGTGAGAACGATGCGAAGGGGTGCAGAGCATGTATTGTCACAAAAATGCACATCTCACCAGTTACAAACCCTTACAGACATGGACAGTGTTCCCTTCACACGGCACACCACGAATGAGGAGTTGTGAGACCGGCCATTCCGTGTACCCACGAGCCTATGCCTGGGAACAAGCTCCTCGTGCTTTCATACCGTATCGCTGTTGCACTCTAGCCGATTCTGGTCAGCCAGGAGTCGTTCGAAAGCTCGCGATTTGCTTTCCTGTGGCTGCAGCACTCGGCCAACGTGCAGTGTTATGGACTTCGCTAGCGGCGTATTTGTCTGATTCAATGCATTCTCGATAAATACCTCCCTCACTGTTCTGGGCCCAGACTCGTTACCAGACGTCGCTCGTGATCCGCTCTCGGCTCGATCCACAACTCTGGCAGTGTCTCGTCTGGTCTCATCTATTGTGCTCCTTGTTTATTCCCTACTATCATGTTTCTGTTGTCATTTCTGTTCACGAGTAGTCGTTGGCTTCCCCCTCCCTACACTATGAATTGATCACTCCGCCCTCACAGCTTTCCTAATCCATAGATTAATGAGATCTCGTTCAATATGAATCGACCATTGATACACCAGACTTCTTACGAACAATTTTTAAATGGTGTGCCGTCCGAGTTTGGGAAACCAGATGGTTGATTGTTTATCTTACTTACTTTTAAAGCCAGAGACTCAAAGATGCAGTACGGGTTTTCGACCGTTGATTCGACCTATCCGTAGTAACGATTTGTGAATTGCGAAAAAGATCCGTTCGCGATGCCGTACTGCATCAACTCAGTGTCAGTACAGCAACATTGGCCCAAAAACAGTAAAGTTCCTTCTGACTTCGTTCCGTATTACGCAACTCGAGATGAACCGTCAGCTATAGATGATTGTCTACTGCGGGGTTCGATGTAAATTATGACAATTAGTACCTTCGCTGGTTATGGACATCCAGGTAATGTGACGAAAAAACCAGCGATACCACTTTTGGTGGCCATGAATGTTATCAGGCATTGAGATAATTGTGATAAACTGTAACCCCTAGCGTTTGGTGGACACATGTTTGCCAGTTGGGGTCTAGAAACAGTTTAAAACTTACCGGATAAAGCGGTTGACCAAGACATTATGGGTTACTGATTCTAGCTGCTGCAACATATTAGTACGATAAATGGCCCAGTCTATGTGCGCAACCAGGTGACTATATCTGTCTTGCTGCGTTGACTTATGTACTTGTTTAGTCATATTGAACTACCGAGAAAAATAACTGCAGAGAGTGGACCACGTTTTTCTAGCCTTTTCGCAGCATTGTTTCAGTACAATAATATAGCATATTCCAATACTGAAGCTTGCGATCTTGCAGTCACCGTAATGGTGGAACAGCCGTAAAGTAGGACTGCGGCACCGGTTTCGAGGATAACCAAGTAAGAATTACCCTAGCTTCATAACATCATAAGTGTACTGCAATCGGCTACATGGAATTTCGAACAGGTCAGCAAGAACACAAATAACCGTGGCGCAGTCCTCATTTAGAGAACAAAAGTGAACGAGTCGTCCAATGGGGAAAAGAAATGCACGGTCGTGAGGTACAAATAAAACTGTTGCCAAATTCTGAGTGTATGTGTTTCACGCTCAATGCACGGCTCAACCGACTTATCAAGAGAGCTTTACCGTTCTTCATAGAGGTACCCGCGTTAGCTACATTCCGCTCACTCGCTTGTGCGAAATACTGTACATGTGACTGGGACATATATATATATATATATATATATATATATATATATGGTTATGATTGTTCCCTTGCATGTGTAAGGCGGAGGCAGTTTTGGTTATGTTGATAAACTTTGAGAATCAGGGTACTGAGCTCTATTTGATGCGTATCCCAGTAGTTATATTTTTTCGGTCCCTCTAGCAACATTAAGTTAGTGCAGTTCTTAATTAGAATATCAAATGTGTTGATCTTCGGCTCACAGCAAACTCTAGAAACATTGTCGAAAGCTAGTATAAATAACAGCTCATTACACAAAAAGCCAAATATTGTATCCGTGCAACCTAGTAGCCCCTTCTTATACCTCTCTCATCCTGCGCCTCACAAACTTAAGATGGTGATACCAATATCAGTACATTTTACATATTAGGTGATGGGGGAAATTCATGTTCCAAGTGCTATTATTGAAATTTATTTTATTATTATTAATTTATGTCGCATAAACCATGAAATCTATTCACATTCGCTCCGGCTTGTGTTACCGTATGCCGCTGGTCGGTAAATATACCTTTTTATTTATTTATTTTTCGTACCGTACTGTAGTCAAAGAAACCATTACTAATAATGAAAAAAGTCCCTTGTATTTACAGAGGACAAGAACTTCAAGCGATTAGCTATCGATGTTTCGTACAATTAGTGTACAAATCGCTTCTAAGTCGCCAACGGAAATTGTGCTGCGATTCAAAGGTAGCTCGTTTGGGGTACGAATTTATGGTGGAGCATCAGGATGTTTTTCCCTCTTCGCATCAAATAGTTTATCAGTGAAAATATTTGGAATTCTTATGAGGGTTCAAGTTGGACCCTTTAAGAAAGCGACAGTAAAAAAAATCATTACAGATTTCCAGTGTTTCCTCCAAGCATATTCATGTACCCATAAGCGGTGCTGTAGTATTCAAGGAAGGAAAGGGTGAGTATTTTAGAACCCTTGAATTTGGTAAAGACCGTATGGACTTTACGGGGTATGATACTTATGGAATACTTGCTCCTCGCTTTTTTGTTTGGTCTGCTCAGCAAGGTGGAAGTCGTAAGAATACGGTATTCTAAGATTACAGATAAAATGCTTTGCGCAGATGGGTTCGTATTTGATTGTACTTGGCTTTTCGGTGGCGAAACTACTTTAGCAATCGAAAATCGGTTTGTTAACGGAGAACTGTAATCAAAACATCGTTCCATGTCGTAAACCGATTGATGTTATCTGGTATTAACAACATTGTACTCTGCGGGCCATCTGTTTTCCATGTCGTTAGCGAATAAAAAGACCTACCAATGTTGGACAGCATGTTGTCGTTACTAAAGAGAAAGAATAGCAAAGGACTGAATACTTTTCTATGATGAAACCGATAGTCACAAGAGTAATCGCCACTTACAGTGACTAGATGAGAATGACTGTTCAGGCTAGAAGCTAGCCAATTAGCAGTGGGTGTAGGACCCGGAAGTACTTCAATGTCGGTAACGTATTGTCTGGTACTCGGTTACACACAAATTGCATGTCCACGAATAAACTTACGATGGCATAACTGGAATAAGTGAATTTTTTAATGTGATCCAGGGAACGCATCTGGCATTTAGCGTAAGATAATTTTTGTGGGGAAGCCAGCAAGTAAACGCCTGCAGAAGCTTCAATATACTCATTCATTTTCAGTGACCAAGACAGCTAAATTTACCCGATTTCATATAAACACACGCGTAGGCCAATCTCAGAATAGAACTTGTAGAGGACTGATCGATCATGGTCTAGACATCCAAGGAAAACTCCGTCATCTCCTTAGAATCACCGCCTCAAATGTACGATCACTGCGGAACTGTAGGAAGGGACCTACTTGACAGTCGAGCCAGTGATTCGTGGTGTGCCCACCTACTTTGTTCGTTAAAAATCAATGAGAATGCGAGCTGCTGAATACAAGTACTTCGGAGTTGACAGCATAGTAATAAGTAACGAAAGCTGACTGAATAGAGCAACTAAGCTTAAGTAATATGAATTTCTGCAAACAACTAGAACCGCTTAAGAATATTCAGAATATAAATTCGGACAGTAAGCGTGGATTCTTTGACCACGGAAGAGACGCTTGAATTGATAAGGTAGGTATTTACGCTAGTGCGAAACAGACCCAGTACCGCCTCGATAAAACTTTCTTCTATGCAAGCAGCATTTGGAAGGCATGATTGTCGTAGGTGACAGTGTTAAGAGGATATAAAGCTTTCTGGCCTGTCAAAAATAGCTTTCATTTTAGTTACTCACTTAAAACAAGTTCCCCGACACCTCACAGATTGTAAAGTAGTTTAAATATGGAGAGATTTGATGTTGCCCGATCCCAAATCTGGGGTTTAATACCAGCTTCGTTCTCGTTTGTATTCATCAAGTATAAGTGCTCTGAGCCGGGAGCAGAATGAAGGACTTAGTGTCTCAATGCTGACGCTTTGCTTATTATACTACTGAGATTTACATGCAACGTCTGGCACAGCAGTTTAAAATTTAATATTAGGCTCTGATTGACCCTTAATACTTAGTAAACATAAGGTAAGATTCGAGTAAAGTGCCAAACGTAAGCGACAAAGAAGGCAGTTGCCATCAACTTGAGCATGACGAAGTCCATTAGTGATTGACTGAAGGCGAAATTATGTGAGAAACTGAAAATGACCAACGTTGTTGTATTGATAATACTTGAATCACCTCTCGGGAGGTAATAATGTTGTCTGCTAGTATATCCTAGAGATAATTAGGGCTGAGTTCCCACAGTCTTGCACATACGCATACGGTTCTGGAGTAACCTTGTGTATGAAGCCGTGCAAGAACTCTCAAAAGGAATTTAGATTATGCTACGCTGTCTAAACTTCCTCCCCGGTGACTGGTTGACAGTAAGTTATGATGTAAACACTGGGTCCAAAACATATCATGGCGAAGTTTCATCGCAAATATATGTTACTTACATTACAGGGAGAACTACAGAATACACATCAAAATGAAGTCGTCCGATCGTGATGGAATGATATTGTACCTGGGCGAGGATGGAGATGGCCGGTTTGGACGTCATGCCAATGACCGACATGAAAGTATCATAATAGCAATGAAGAACGGATTGGTTGAAGTTGCGATTCATTCTCTTGAGTCCGACAGAATCGTGAATAACAGCGCAGCCATAAGGAAGCATCGAACGAAAACGAGGGTGAATGACAACATATGCCACAATGTGTGGTTTGCAAGGTCAGTAAGCTATTTTCGAAGGTCATAGTTGTTATGGCCAGCAGATTTATTTCAATACTGGTAGGTGACAGAGATGCTATTCGCACAATTAACGGAAACGAAGTAGTAGTTTGTACGAAAGCACAGCTGCAATGCAAGCATGACCGTTTTGATGAGAGAAAATAAGATGTGCAGTGCGCAGCCCTAGGGTAAATCATAAATTTAGGAAACAAACATCCAAAACCGACACAAAATCACAAACAGACGGTTACCGCATGAACAAGTGACGTGGCCGATGAAGCAGCTCCGCTGTAGCCATCACTGACCTATGTCATTATCAGCATGACCCCATATAACCACACGCGCCTTCGACCAAGAGTCCAAAAAACGCACCACTAGTGCAGAATGCGGAACGTGCTGCTTGAGGTCTCGAGTTAGGCACGGGGCTTAGCGCGTATATTCCAGTCTCCATGTGAGATGGATCAGCCGAACCCACCTTAGAAGTTAGTGATTTCACCACGCTGGCAATGAAACGATTTTCCCATACATCCCAACGTTTTGCTAGCTCAAGGAAATAAGGATGCGCTTATAAGGACAAGTGTAAAAATGGCATGCGTGGCTCGCTTCTGAAACAACACAACTTTTGCAGTCGTGTTAATTGGGAAAGGAGCTCCTTTGAGCATCCTCATTTGCGCTCTCCATTATCCCGGAACTGCTGGTGTCAACAGGCAAGTACGATGCTCTGTATGCAACAGCGACGGAAGACCCGGAAGGCACTTGATTTCTTCAGGCCAAAATGTTCATGTTTCGGTAGAGTAAAGAAGAATACCCCTAATGTGTCCACACATACACGCAAATGTTTATAGAGGAATCCTTCCAAGTGCCAGTGTGGTCAAACATTCCTGTAGGTAGTTCCATTTTTGTTGAATATAAGCTGCTTTCGGACATCCACACGCATGACACTGCTGATGCAGCTGCCAGTTCCTAGTCATTCTGAGTCAGATAATGAAAGTGACTGGTGGACCAGGAACGGTATTACTTATCTTAAGGATGCGAAACTCATGCCATTGAGTAGGAGCACTGCTTGAAGACAATAGTTGATCCTGAGATGCATGTTCGAGTCTGACTGCCGCATAGCAATTGTCAGAGTAAAATGGTGCTGTCAATATACTCCGGATCAAATTATCCTCTAACGCAACGGGACCTATTAGCTTACATCATCTGCCTTCAATGACTAACAATTCATGGTGAAGTCTGCGATAGATGTGAACGATGAAAAGCATTCACTACCGGATACGTATTCGAGAAGTAGCGGCAAACCTTGGTGCCATCTGAGGTGAAGTAGCAAACGGTAGGAGAAGCGTTCACGTATTACATCTGTAAACGTTTCCAGCACAAATGGGGACCAACCGAGTGGATGGCTATCTTGAAGTGGGTGAAAGCCTTCGTCCGCCTGTGATACGTGTGATGCTGTTCCAGCCGCTACCAAAGAGGGTATTTGGTTCACACTGATTCATTCTAACCGATGACCAGCATTCTCTCTGCCTCTCCGAGACTACTGTAGGGTGGTGAAGGAAACAGGACAAAAAACTATTACTGTACGGGCGCCAAGCCACCATTTCTGATTGGAGCAAACCTCGTGACGTCCCTTCTGAATACTGCCACTGTGATCGAGTCACAACAATTTTGCTAACGCTTTCTCCTCTTTCTACACTTGTTTGAAAGGTGGGTTGATGGTTTATATAAAGCCTCTAATTGTTACTATGGCCGGTGTACGATGGAATCCCGACTGGTAGAGGGGATGCAGTTTAAAGCTGCAGTCACACGTGGAAGCGCAGCCTAAAATGAGGTCACAAAACGACCGGCAGTCGTTCAACACGTTTCACGTAACTAATAGGGTCAACTTAACACTTCCTGAAAAGATACTTCGATCGATTAACCAAAGGACCACTTTACTTGTAAATTAGGGCGGCGCTGTCGTCCTGATTACAATACAGTTAGACGATCTACTGCGACCAGCGACCTCGATTAGTTGGGAGAGCCTGTAGGAATATTCATCGCCCCCACGCATCAACCCTAAACCTGTTTCATTAGCAAGCTCCGTTCTCTGTACAAAGACTGCGTTTCCGCTCAAACGTAGTAGTTCATATTGTGCCGATGTTCTCAATACCAATATGACTTGTTGTTCTGCTCTTCCGGAAAAGCAACAATCCTACTTATATTTGCCATCCGGTGTACTGATGAATTTTAGAATGGTAAGCGAAAGCTCCAGTGTGATCAGAATGTAGATAGCCCGCGATGAATCAATGAACTTCGCAAGTCAGTGCATAAGGAAAAACGTTTTACAACGAGCAGCTCCGTTTATCCACCCCAAGAAACAGACTCTTAGCCAATACTGTATTCGAATTTCTGTTATCAGCCGACTGCAACCATTCTGGTGCCGTGTCCAACTGTTATCAGAGGCTCATCTAGCCTACCAGCGTTGCCTGCTGACAATGAGTTACCGACCATAACCGATTAAGTGTTTAAGGCCAGTGAGGAACACAAAGAAAGAAGTGGATACATTTAACCGCGAGTGACAAAAGCCGACGAAATCTCATGAAAAAGTCGTCACAATGCAGCTTCCCTGGTAATGACCGGTTATCGAATCTGGATCAATAGGTCAATGATGATTCATGCTCCCCCAACGGTTCCTACCACAGGCTGCGTGTAGCCTGCACTCATGTCTGTAGTATGATGAACAAACGCGACAAGTCATGCAACTGCGTTGCTTTTTGGCCGCCGAACGTACCATGACTGGTTTACATATGTTTGAATTCTAAAGTACTTGCCCATGAAATAGGGTTCATTGGCTACTCGCGCTTTAGGTGCGAGAGACAACCAAATGACTTCGGTGGCGTGCTGGTATACATCCGGTCTTTATGCCAAGATGACTCATAAGCACCTATAGAAGCAAAGATGGCCCTTGTGAGGAAGTGGGTGTTCGGTACACCTCAGCCACTGTCAGTATAAGCTTTATGTACACGAATAAGAGCATTTTCAGCATTTTACATTATCAACAGTAAATGTATCAGCGGGTTAGCATCAGATATGTCAAGTTTGCAAATGAGTAGAAAAATGAGAAGATAACACTTTCATAACTCGAGTTATAGTCGATCGATGAAGCAACGACAAATGTTGAACTAAATCTTCGGGATTTGCATTCTGTCAAAAACGGAAAAGGTTTCGTTGAAACCTTTCTTTGTCATTCGTTTCAGTTGAAGTGAAATCGTATATCCAAAGACCGTAGAGCGAGGAACGTACGCGATATCTCGGCGTTTACATTCAGATGATGGATAGAGTAGATGAATCGCGGTGACTTTGGAATTTAATTGAACAAAGTATCCGCCAGCTTATGCTTGCAAAACGGATATCTACAGTGATACTGCAAAATATGGTGTTCGACGAAAAAGGCAACGGCATATTTAAAGTTCCCGCCAACAATTACCCGAAAGGAACTTAACTCTTCGCAGCACGCGAAGTCGGTGTTTGGACTGGTTGCCGCATTCACGGGACCCCATAAGTCGTCCTCGCTTCTTACCATGGGTGTCCCTAACTTATCTTGAATACTCTGGCGCATTTTGCAGAGAGGATATTTGAGACTGTGGTAGCAACACACATCGACGCACATTATACAGCACTCAATTCCGTCACTCATGGACTTGGTTTACTGACTGTGTAAGGGGTACAGATCCTGGAGTGTTTCCCATGTTGTGATAAGGGGATGATTATCGTCCCCCTAGACCTGACGTTGCCGTGCTCACGTCTGCTGGAGCTATCCTACAATTATCGGAAGACTAACTTCACGAGCCGCTAGTAAAATGTACTAGTCACTTTCGTGGGATCTATTTGTCTCTTGTCCACTTGGTCTCTTATAAATGAGTGCGCAAAATCGCTGTGCACTCGAGTCCTAACCCTTAAGTATCAGAAAGTAGGCCAGTGAAGCCCCATTTGGATCTACAAGGTTTGTGATCAGCTGGCTCGACAAAGACGCGCACTATGAAACAAATTCCTCCTGTTTGGCGCAGTCGTTGATTACGTGGCTTACAATGGTCAGGGAAATTTATGTAGCAGTGGGAAACGCATAAAGGTCGACAATGCGAAGAGTAGCATACAAGCGCAGTAAAAACGGTCTCCAATAGGAATTTTGCTAATAAGCGCCGGCGCATGAGGACTGCGGGTGACGGAGAAGAGTTCTATCGGATAGTCCCTCAGTTCCAGCATTAATCATTCCTCCTCATTGGCGGCGCACTTCGCTTTCGTATTTGTTATTAACCGTGTCTACACCGAGTTCGACACATGCCGTCCCAACGAAACTTGACAGCATGGATTGCAGTATAAAAAACCTACTCATTATACGAAGCCTGCCGGCCATGGCGGACTCAATCCACTTATTCTGAAGTCCTTATCGACTGTCATCTAGGCTTCCGCGACTGATCTGTTTGACAGGCCGCTCTCCGTAGATGCATCCCCCTGTGATCGAAAATGCACGGTGGTGAGGCCGGTTCCGAGAGTCGGAGACCCAGGTAAGGCAGACAATTACCGGTAGATAAACGTTTTAAATAAGGTACTCGAGAATAGAATGGTCTGATGCGGCTGCTGCAGTCTAAAGACCCGCCATCAGCACGGCACCTTCTCTTGAAAGAGTTTTCTTGTATCACCAACATGCTGGCGCCGAAGCATGAGTACTTGCCAATTCTGAACGAGAGGATCTATATAACAATCATTAATGGTTTCGATGAGGTGAGACATGAGGTGCTGCTGCACAGACTGAGAATGTATGATGTTGGGGCTTGCTGCACCAGTGGATTAGCGAATGGTTTATTAGGCGAAAGTGGGGGTACATGTGTATGGTCATCTAACCGACTGGTATACTTCCACTAGTGGTGTATCTGAATGCACAGTACTGTGACCATTTAAATTCCTGCTTTAACTCATTAAAGTAACTCATTTTCTTCAGTGGTCTTGTGACTTGTTTGAGGATTACCTGAAGATTTGTAAAGTAATTGACACTCCAGAAGACGGCGACGTTACTTATCAGGCTGCGCAAGAATGGTGATGGAGGGATGTACTCTTTGGCCGGACCACCGCTGCATCCAACACCCTCGGCAAAGGACCTTGTACTCTCACATTTCGACTTGAAGTCCGTGGACAGTAAGAACAAGCTATATGAAAACGGACTGCGCAAGCTTTAGGCGCCCAAACGGGGTTTCTGCAAATTAAAGCGCTTATGAAAGGATTTTGATACAAAACAGATTATCGCCGAATACAATAAACTTTTCTGTCAACGCCTTCAAATGTGTGCCTCAGTAGGCTGGTCTGAAAATTCATGAACGCTGAAATACAAAGTCAAAAAATGAATATGAGGGATAAACCTATAGCAATCACTTTCACAGTTCATTTAAAGCCATACATCTTTTCAGCATACTTCACGTTACACTTAAGGCTAGCTAGCGTGTTGAGTAGGCAGTCATTTCACACACCGCGATTTGAGCGCACCAACGTGGGCGGTGTGTGTGATAGGTTACTCCAGCTCACCGAATGCATTTGATTTCTCAGAGACTGCGAGTGGTCTAGTGAGTGCTTTACAAATGGCGATGGGTTTCATTTAAAGCCGTACGGATAATTGCACTTTTAATCGACTGAGAAAAGTTGGAATCATTAAACTTAGCATTGTAGCCAAACGTTTGACTTTAGGATTTCTTAAGGAAAGTACTGCTTTAAGGTATTTACAACTTTTGTCACCATTGTCAGAAATAAACGGAGTTTTACATTCGGAGTTGACAACGAGGCGGTAACAGGAGAAGCACAGAGACATCCCAGTCGACGGCACAAGAACAAATATATCATGTTAGGTAAGTTGAATTATTTTGGGAGTTTGGCAGCATTTTGTAAAGTGAAGCAAGTTGTTGGTTGTAGGCCTGTAAAACCCTGGGTGAGGCCTTCACAGCCCAAGGAGATAGGCCAAATCAGAAGAAAAATCCAAGTTGTATCCAATCAGACTGTGGAATCTCGTAGGAATAAGTTCACTTTCCACGTACCATCTTGTTTTTCCAGATTTGAAATCTGCTAGAACTATTGGGGTCGCAGTTCTGTTCAACTAAAGACTGACAACGAAAGTCGATAAACGGTAGCGGTCTTGCCGCACAGCACTTCAGCATAATAACTTATTTATTTCTCGATTGTGCGAGGCAAGACTCAGGTTGTTGGTCCGATCGAATCGCATTAATGGATCGCAAAATGGTCAAAATAATCCAAGTAAATAAACAGACTAAGTGTGTTCTCAATCGAGAGAGTTGCGCGTCATTTAACTTTGTCAGTCCATTCTTCGAGAATTCATGTGTCAACCGCACGTTAATTTGTAGTTAGTAAAGATAATGTAAAGTTGTAGCTTTGTATGTCAGACATACTGTCATATATTTGACTTGCCGTATAGTCTGTACTTGCAACGGATAGAAGCAACTGAATGGGGAGTGTGGTACTGCCGGCGACGGGGGAAGGGTTTGAGTTAGAGAGATTGTTGTGTTTCTTCTTGTAGCGGGATCAGTGCACCAGTGTTGTTTGTGCGGAACCATGAAGCTAATCAGACACGCGTATTTGAAGTATTTTTCCGTAGTAATTTTGCGAGTCTCAGAGAAAGAGACAGTTTATAAAAATACAACAGTGGACATGCTACCCCATTTACAAGTGGAGAAGACTGCTGTGATGATGTCAATTTTAACAAATCGAAATGCTCTAGGGGGAATTTGACACAAGGCTATGATGATGTGTTTAGCAACAATCAATAAGAAAGAAGATGCAAAAGCATGCATGTTTCCTGATACGTAGCATTGTCAAGATGGAAGTTAATTAGAATATGTCAGGCCTGTGCTCCCATTGATCATCAGTGGACCTACTAATATATCAGGATCAATAGGGGAGGCAGTACTAAACTGCTGACCTAAGGAGGCATGAAACTAATTAACCAGTACATCAACGTGTAATGGTTTTCTGTTTCGTACGTATATATATCTGTGACAGGTAGCAATAGCAAACATCCAAACGAGCGCTTTATAGAATAATCTGGAAGTACACTGTAGCATCGTCGGGTAGAACATGAGGAGCACACGGTTTGTCTTTCAGCTTCCATGTGAGTATGAAAGCTTTGAAGTAGGTAAGGTCGGTCAAAGAGTGAATATAATAGGGGCCCAAGGAATGAAAACGGGGACTCGATTTGCCTTACGTCGTTGAATTCCATGAAGACATAAAAGTCTCAAGGTCGGTGTGGTCGAGTAAGGAAAGAATATAACACTGGTCGGGTGAATAAAGAAGAGCACTCGGTCTAATGCCCCTCTTTAACCACCATATAGGAATGGGGTAAACGCTTAACGCACTCTGCTGCCCTAGTGTCACTGTCTTGCATGGTCAAATACCATACAGCAGTAATATAACATCGGGCTTGTACATTGCACAGTATAATATTTCAGTGGTTGAGATAAAATGTTTAAGTACCAAAGCAACTCCGATAAGTTAAGGCTGTTGAAATAGTGAACTCCTAATTCTCTTACTTCGTTACCACACGCAAGAGGTTTACCGAAGAATGCCAACTGTTGGACATCTATATTACATTTATATAAGAGGGTATTACTCTTTCTGACAGAGAAAATATTTATAGCATATTACCACCCTTCAAGAACAGTCAGGTTTTCATATATTTCAAATTATGACTCCTGGTCCAGGGTATCAAATGTGTACACGACTTTTATATCATTCGAAAACACACAGGCCTTGCCGTACAAAATGATGTCAAAAATGTCGTTTATGTATATCAGGAAGAGAAGTGCTCCCAGAACACTGTCTTCAATGACGCCAAGTGACATGTGACTGTAACAGGATGTGTGAATATTTATCTTGACTTCTTAGCTATTGTCGGTAACACATGAAGAGAACCAAAAAAGTAGACGCTCGGCAATTTCGTAATCTGCTAGAAGCGCCAAAACCAACCATGGGATACTTGGTCAGTCTTTTGCATATCAAAGGATATGTTGATATAGGTTTTACCTCAGTCGTCTGAGCTTGTGCTTTCGTTTAGTAGGTCTAATTAGAATGACTGACAAGAACGCAGTTTACATCAAGCCAAGTCAAGTTAAAATAGGTTTTATACCTCTAAATAGGTGTATTATCAGCATTTACACTAGCACTGCGGAGATAACAAATGCATGGGACCAGTTCAAAATGCAAATAGGTAAAGGCATGTAGATGTTATTCAAGTAACCGCATGCTCAAAGTATTTGTAACTTTCATAGTGTCGACAAGAAAGCGTGACAAATAAGGCAAGATTGTGTTACGATATGGAGCATTGCGAGAATAAAATCCTAACTTTGAGCGTGTGTGGGAGACAGATAAAGTTCGTGAGAGATCATTAGGTAGCAGATGTGAGCGGCCACTTAGGACCTTAAAAGAATTAGCCATGCAAGCAACTAAATGCTTACAGACAATAAAATCAACTACGAAATCTCTGGAATTACGATTAATCGATAGCATTTTCAAAACATAGTTCTTTTGCAGCAGGCCAAGGAAGAGAACTAGGGAACAGTACAACCAGTAGGTAGTTTACATGCAGTTATAAATCGCAGAACTACGCTTCACGGTACGGAGAGCTTCTTAAGTCGCAAATCATAAAAGGAGAAGATTCTGACCTCTTAAAAGGTCTCCAAAATGTACATGGACCAAGTGAGGTTTTTTGAAAAATATACACCGAGATATTTAACAATGGATGAAAAAGGAATGGTTTTGTCCTCCACAGCTAATGGAGGAGAATCATCTCAAACTACCCGTAATTTATCAGCGCGGAGACATGAAATATTATATCAGCACATTTCAAAGCATTAAGGTTAAGGGACCTAGTTGAGAAAGAATTCACAAGTTGGTCCAAACCACATATTGAGGAGTAGACATCTCAACGGAGGAAGATTTGCACCCCAAGACAAAATCGTCGGTTTAATTACATCCAATAAATGTTGGTAGTATGGGGAGAATTTCGACAAATAATAAAGCCGTATTGTGATTGGCTGATTAGGTTCCGCGATGTTAGAAACTGGGAGGTCCTAGCCTCCAAACTCGTAATATGTATCTAAGTCTGGCTAATCGTGTGATAAAGTAAAACACCCCATTTCAATGTCAGCTTGTCTCCAGGGACGCCGAACAGTGCTGGCTTTCACTGACAGAAAAGATAGGGATATCCGTACCTTGCATTTCAGTAAAGCTGGCGGAGCGCCATCAGGGGCATCCTAGAAGTTCCATACAGGCATTTCCCTTCACGAATTTCAATAAAGCAAGAAGAAACAACTTTTTAACAGAATTTACTGAATTCAGCAATTTCGCGTATTCTCCTCAGCTGTTTACATACAATGAGTGGAAAACAGTGCAATGTTAGCAGCAAAAATTCAAAGCGGTCGACTGCGCTGAATGCCAGGACCCACGTGGCAATTTCAGGGTAGTTAGCAAACAAGCTAATCCCCGTTTACTATAATTTGCGGAGGCGGCAGTAATTCGGCGGCTGAAGCTAAATCTATGCAAGCAAAGGGATTTCGTGACCACGCTAGCCCTACCCTGGTGAGGCTAGTGATTGCGTTTTCCTCGGAACAGGTAACGTGAGCCTAAAGACCTTCCACCGCTTTGAATTTTTGCTGCTAACATCGCACTGTTTTCCACTCATTGTATGTAAACAGCTGAGGAGAATACGCGAAATTGCTAAATTCAGTAAATTCTGTTAAAATGTTGTTTCTTCTTGCTTTATTGGCATTCTAGAAGGACTGCTTTATGGCGGTAAGTGATTTCATTATTTCTGCTATAGGAAAGTCTACCTTGTTTTAAGGTGATGGTGGTGTGTTGTTAATTTGTATTTCTGTTGAAGTACGAACAAAGCAGCGTGAAAAGATTACGAAAAACTGCAGGTGTCTATGGCTTCTCCCACTTATGAGCACGATGCATGCGAAACAGAGAATCAGGACCAGGAGCAGTGACGCAGTGACGTGAGACCGTGATCTTGGGTGAGGTTGTCACCAATTCTCTCTTATGACTGCCAAGATCAGCGAGGTACAAAGGGTGTGGCCCAAGGATAATTAAGGATGTACTACAAACTAGGCAGATGGCTACTGGAGCGGTGGCAGTCACCTCGGAACAGCCTGCTGATACACATTGCTCAACTACTCTTATTTCAAAATTGGACACGTAGCTCCGAACTCGGAGTGAGAAGTCACAAACCGTATGGCACACGCGGTATGGGGTTGTGTCAGATGGATCGAAAACGACAAGCATAAAAGGTAAAAGAACAAGAATAAAAGGCCAGTTAGTATCGACCAATATGACAATACTTTTCGACCAATCGCGTGGTTGTGTGGCTTTTTGAGTCAAGTTAGCATGTTCGGACCTAACAACTGCTTCCATGAAGGGCAAACGACCTACACTGCAATAATCCTGTGACACTGAGTGAGGTAAAGAACCCTATCGCGACAAAAAAGCATCGACCCATCCAGGTCTAAATGGCATCCGCCCAGCTGTAATAAGGTTCGGCGAAAACATTTCTGTTATTATTAAACTTCTTCACTATTTCGCTAACTACCGGCTGCTTCCCATATCAGTGGAAGGAATCCCATCATAATGTCTAAATACAAAAGTGAACCGCGAAATGATATGTTAAGCTACCGCCCTATAATCCCCACCTCTACTACTTCTAAAGCCCTAGAGAGAATAGTCAACAGGAAGTAGTTCAATTTCTTACAAGACTGGATCTGATCAATCAATCACAAGATGGTTTCCTATCAAAACACTCTTGCGTTACCTGCCGGCCACAATTCCTTCGTCACAACTATGA